CACACACACACACAATTCAACAACCCCCACCCCCTACCCCACTGCAATTCCACAACCGGCAGGTACATTCTCTCTTAATTGAAGGCCTGGGTGTAAAATGCACGGCCCGCCACTGTGTTCAAGCATGGGGTCAGCTTATGATTTTTTATTTTACCTTTTTTCTTTCAGATGGACTTAACCCTGGCTGAAGGCTTTCTGAGACACGTTGACTTTCATAACTCCAGTTTTTGGATTGCTGTGATTGCCATCATATTCAACCCTTTCTTCTGGAATGCGGTAAGATTCTGCTGTAGATACTGCGGGAAAAAAACTTGGTTTTAAATGTTACATGAAGTATTTTTATAGAAATACAAACTATCATTTCCAAATTATGTTTTATGCAGCATTTAGAATGTAAATAACCTAATGACTATAGAAAAAATTACATTTAGAATTACATATCATTAGCATTCATTTCTTATGCCTTACACTCTTATCAACAACTTTATAGTTGTTAGTTGTTGTAATTGTTATTGTAGTTGTTGTTGTTAGATGTATATTATAAACAGTGGTAAGCTTAAATAAAGATAACTATGAAATGATTAACATGTTTTTTTTAGAGTTTTCTCTTTTTTTGTGTGTGAAATTTATAAATTCGCATCTGCAGTTTTTCCATTATTGCAGTTCATATATATATATATTGAAATATCTTTAAAATATTAAAACAAACAAACCTGATACAGCACAATTTAACTGGAGCCAAAATTCTTTCTATTTGTTCAACACATTGGCATTTTGAGAAATAAAATGTTTGTGGCATGTCTGTAATTTTCAATTTTTTTAGACAAAATGAAACAATTTAAAAAACATCCTCAGAGGGTTATGATTCACCATTTTTTCCAGATGTTTACATGTTGATACCGAACTTGGACCCAGGAGTATTTCTGGATCAAGTAAAAAACACTATTTTTACAAGCTGGAACAAATGGCCAACTCATGTTTTTTTTAATACAGTATGAATAATCAACAGGCACTCTCATGACAAATAAAAGTTTAAATCTTTTTTTTTGTTGTTGTTTTCTTTATCTAGTTTAGTTTTAAGATCTGGAGAGTTACTCACCTGTTCGGAACCACAGGAGCCCTATGCAGCAGCAGGTTGGCTGTAACRTGTTCATTATTAGCTCTCAGAAACTGTTGTCTTTCTGACAGTACAAGCTCGTGGAAAATTATAGCAACGTGAAGCGTGTTTAAAAAAATGCTGACGAGAACTTGTTCAGAATATAAAATAGGCTAAACATTTGTTAAAGTTCAGGTTTGTTTATTAATGGATTCAGACATCATCCTTCCATCCATGTCAAGTACAGATTGTCTGTAAATTACACGGATTTCCCCCCATTTTGCGAGTGTGGACATATTTGGCAGATTTTTTTTTTCAAACATCCATCCTTCTGCTTTATCCGGAGTTGGGTCGCTGCAGCTTTAGCAGGGAAGCCCAGACCTCTCTTTCCCCAGCCCCATCAGCTCTTCTGGGAAGATTCCAAGGTGTTCCAGGTCAGTTGAGACACTGGAATGTTTTTACAAGCACTCATCTTCAAATTTATGTTACGTCTGAGAGTGTAGGATAGGAATGCGCGATATAAACGATATATGGTAGAAACAATATAAATTTGTCCTATGATAAAGATCTGTAGTCTACAGCCCAACCGTGCAATTCTTTTTGATGACGTAACCGGTTGGAGTCAAAACAGAGGAAGCGGGTAGCAGCGTGGCTGAGAGCGCAAATGAAGAGGGGAAAAAAACTTATCCGGACCTGGTTCGGGTGTGTGAAAATGAGCYCCGAACTGTTTACATATTTACGTGACGGCGCATCCTCCGGTCGGATGCCGACCGACCACACTGCCTGCTGTGGGAGGAGCGCGCGCCGCGGCATGTGTGAAGGGCTCGACACACGGGAGGCGACGTTGCTCGCTCTCCATTCATTTCCGCGCAGCGAGGTGACTGTCAGTGCAGGTGAAGTCAGTGCTCAGGTGGGACACACAAAAATCAGTCTGGACCTTGTTTCTCCTGCGGTCATAGTGTGACGACGCACGGCCGAATGCGCGCGCACTCCGCTCGCGCTCCGAAGCGCGACTATAATGATTGTCACCCCGCCGGAGCGCGCACAGATTAAACAGGTAGAGTGCAGAAAAACTAATCTGCAAAGTGTGTAGAAAGGAATAAATACAAACAATTTGTTTTACCACCTTAAAACAAAGCAGGTGATTCCAAAAACATCCAATGGATGCAGATATCATTACATTAAAGTTATTGTGTGTGTGTGTGTGTGTGTGTGTGTGTGTGTGTGTGTGTGTGTGTGT